TTAATGGGTTGCATTAGTTTCCTATTATGGCTGTAATGAGTTACCACAGACTTAGTGGCTTAAAATAACACAAATTTATGATCTTCCCATTCTAGAGGTCAGAAGCCCACAAGGTGTTTTCTCTGAGCTAAAATCAAGGTGGGCAGGGGGTGGGGGAGGCTGTCGTCTTCTAGAGAATTCTCTCTGGAAGGGAGAATCCATTTTCTTGCCTTTTCCAGCTTCTAGAGGCGGGCCTGTTTCTGGGCTCATGACCCCATCCTCCAGAATCTTCTTTCTCCTTTTGCATTGAAAGGACCCCTTGTGATTGAGCCCTCGGGGGTAGTCCGACTTTATCTGGAAGTCAACTGATGAGCCACCTTCCTTCCATCTGTAGCCTTAATTCTCTTTTGTCATTGAAGGTAGCAGTTACAGGTCCTAGAGATTAGGACCCGGACGTCTTTAGGGGCCAATAGCCGGCTTCCCACACGGTGTGGTGGCACATCAGTCAGAGTGCTAATGTGACGTCCAAGACTTGGTTGCATGTGAGGTCTTTCAGGGACTCTGCTCCTTCATGCACTGGCTTTCCTCTTTGGCACCACCCCTGACCTTGCATGGTGGGTTGGTCCGTTGCTGGCCCTTCTTACACAGCACAAACTCCACAGGAAAGCAGGGATTTTGTCCGTTTTGTTCACGAATGTGTCCCAGCTGCTTGCACCGTGCCTGGCACCTAGTAGGTGCCATTAATGTATTTAGAATGACTAAGAATGCAGGGTTGAAGTTCTCTCTAGGAAGGCAGCAAGCTTCTGGAGGGCAAAATCTGTGGCCCACTCATCAGCTCTGCCCCAGCATCCAAAGAGGGCCAGTGCTAACCTGGAAATGGGGTGGCTACACCAGAGGTCGCCAGACTTTCTTAGTTCAATCTGCCCTTTGTATCCTAATTACATTGTTTACAGAGCCCTGAGTCCGAAAGACATATCTAGCTGAGAACCCGCATGTAATTCATTGCAACAGAAGAGACGCAGACGTCTCTTGTTTAACAAACACTTTCACGGCTCTTTCTGTGTGTCTGACACTGTTCTAAGAGCTTTACAAATAACTGGGTCATTAAATCCTTGGCACAGTCCCGTGAAGTGGGTGTAATATTCCCATTTTACAGAAGAAAAAGTGAGGCACAAGGAGGTTCGATATACCTTGCCCAAGGTCCGTGGAGCTAGGATTTAAATGCAGGGGGCCCGTGGCTCTCTCCTGAGCCGCCTCTAATGTGGTTTTCCCCGTAGCGGGTGGGAGAAACCTGACTTGAGATCCTGGCTATGCTGTCTCTCTAGCTTTGTGTTGGGAGTGAGGTGTGAAACCTCTCTGAGATTGTTTCTTCTTCTGTGAAATGGGCACAGCGGATCTCCCCGAGTCATTGAAAAGATGACGGGAGATTACAGGTGTAAACGGCAGGGCCCGGGGTAGTAGGGCGGAATGGACCCTTCACCTTTAGTGGCTTTTCCAACTCAATTTCTGCTCTCCCTCATCGCCCCTCCCCTTCTAGTGTCGGTGAATCTGGCAGGCAGCAGGGGGCAGCACTGAGCCATGAAGCACATCCTCTCCTGTCCTGAAGGCAGTTACTGCACAGGGATGGTGAATTTTAGCACTGGACAGTCTTTTTCCCGTCCGTTTGGGCAGAACATTTGAAGTGGTTTCGTTAAACAAGAAAAAAATCGCAGCCTAAGAGGATGAATCGAAAGGAGGGCAAGGAAGCGCGCTCAGAAGTACCCATCTGTAAGATTGTAGCCCACCTCATACCCTCTCTGGGGGATAGCGTTCCCCTAAAGACCCAGGGTTGTGCTCTGTGATGCTGCTTTTATTTGACTTGTTATCCTAAGATATTACTGAAGTGGAAAAAGGGTGTTTCCTGATGCGTGAAGACCCCCGCCCGCATCACTACTGGACTGTTCCTTGGAAAATATTCGAGAATTTGTATTGAAGGTTTCTTTGACATCTCTCTGAGGAAGAGCTGCTTAGAAGATGCCCCTAGAGATTTCAGCTGACGGGGGAAACACCCTTCATACAAAAACTACAATGTGTTCGGGCGCATGGGTGGCTCAGTCGGTTAAGCTTCACACTCTTGATCTCTGCTCAGGTCATGATCTCGCGGTTTGTGAGTTCAAGCCCCGCATCAGGTTCTGAGCTGATGGTGCAAAGTCTGCTTGGGTTTTTTGGTTTTTTTCCTCTCCCTCTGCCCCTCTCTCGCTCTTTCTCTCTCTCTCTCAAAATAAATAAACATTTAAAAAATTTTTTTAAATACACGTGTTCTGTATCTTATGTTGGTTTTTGGAATTGGGTCCTATCAGGTTTCTCTGGCATTGCAGGAGGACTCCATCCTGTGAAAATGGAAAGCCACAACCCCAACACCTTGGAAACCCTTGTCCTCTCCTAGAGGGACTGGAGTTCTTGGCTGATGGAGAGGACGCCTCGGTGCGTGGTGTCTCCATGGGAGGTCTGTGCCCACCCGAGCTTCCAGAATGGACGGCTGGCCTCTGTGTGGGGTTTCTGTGGGGCTCCCGTGGGCAGCCGAGATTGAAGGATGCCCCTTCTTCTGTGTTACAACTTGCCATGAGGGCAGGAGGCCCGGGGCCTGGGGTCCCCAGCTGTTCCATGAAGGACTGACCTATCCAGACTCTCCACTGTCCCCAAGTGGGGTCGAAATTACCGAATAGTCTCCACAACCTCTTCAACACATCAGTTGTTTCTTCCAACGATACTCAAAGCTTAGACCTTTGACCTGTTAAGTATTAGCTGTAACTTGCATTGCTCAATCTCTAGGGGATGCATCGGTGGTTATTACATTGATTGGGTGTTTTATTTAATGGGTATGAGAGAAAGCGTGATATCCCAAGGGGTGGGGGGTGTCTGGGGGGCTCAGAGTGACTGCTGGGATATCAGCAGTGAGTCACAGGGTAGTTGCAGGGCCCTTGGCAGGAGAATTGTGGTCCTGTCTCCCGTGTCCCTTCCTTTTGGAACTACCTGAGCAGATGGTTTGCTCGTAGCCATCTTTTAGGGTACCATGACTGACCAGTGGCTCACCTCCGCCCATAGCCTGGATGGCAGGACATGGCTGGCCTCACAGTTTTGCCCTGAAGCAGAAATCCCTTCAGGCTATGTTGGGTGCTGCTCTTGCCTTGGAAACCTCCCTGTCCACGCCCCCACCCCTGCCCCCTGGGTCTTGGTCTTTCTCTGCATCTCTTCAGGGAATAGGGCCAAGAGTAGCTCTGGTCCCTAACTCTACCCGGCTAAGGAGAGCCCCCCCTAATTCTTGCCCATATCTGAAAGATGCCTATATTCTAGACTTTTCCAATAATACCCCCAAACTTTCTCAACTTCCTCCACTTAGTTATCTTAATCTAAGTTGTGACAAACCAGAGCCAGTGTACTAATGAGGTGCATATTGATCCTGTCAAGATTCTTATGAACAGGAATAACTGTGAAATTGGGGGGGGTCTCTGACTGGCTACGGGAGCAGGTGTTTTGAGACTCTAGAACTTCGATGTGAGACTCTAGAACTTCTAGATTGCTCCAAATCACAGAGTAGGATTTCACCAAGAGTGGACTTAGCCCCATTTCCGTGATATAAACCATTCTCTTTTCAGTCCTTCCTTTATCAAACAATACCCCCTTCTAAGCTGTCTTCAAATGATTGCTTTGGGGTCTGGGTTTCTGTCTATAAATGGGGAAGACATGGCTTCCTTTGCCAAGTATGTATAAACCAGATGAGCTCCTGCCTATAGTTTATGTTTTCTCTCCACCTCTAAGACAATGAGCTCTGGAAGGTTAAGATTCTTAACTTTTGGTCCAATACTAAATCTCCATCCCTCCGACTGCTGCTTGACACACAGAAGGAGCTTGATAAATATTGAGTGCATGAATGAATATTCGAGTGGTTCCATGTTGACATCACCGAGAGAAATCAGGATGAATTCGTCTACTCCTGTGAGCAGACCACAAGTACTCTCCACTGAGCTCGGGTTCCCTTTGATTGAATTCATCTCCAACTTTGTTCTTCCTGTGTGCACGTGGACTGTTAACACCCATCTTTTGGGTTATCTGCTTGGGTCGGATCAAGCCACGTATTGTCTGTCTCCACAGCCAACCAGCTTCTTGAGGGAAAGGCCACTTTTTCACTGCTATTTTTATTCCCAGGGCCTTGGTAACTGTCATTGCTCACGGCATGTTCTACGGAACTGAAATTTAGTTGAATGGATACAGCCTGTGGGTTTTAGTCTGGGCTCGGTACCTTTCCCAGAATGAATAAAAAGGTTTGTGCAAAATCTCAGGTTCTGTCTCCATCAGATACTTAAGTACATGTCTAGTACTGTCTTCTCAAGTCCTATGGAAAAGCTTGAATCCTAACCACTATTACAGTAATAGATAGTAACTCCAAAATATGGAGGGGAAACTGCAAAATTAAAATGAATAAAACATCTAATTAAATGTTCTCAAAGCATACCATTATGTCAGCTCTGGTTTTTTGAGAAATTAATGCCCATAAACATTTTATTACATTTGAAAATAATTTGTGGTTTTGACTTTTCTCACTTCACAACAATTCCTGAATTCGTACAGCGAGTGTTGAGAAATCTTAGCCAACCATAAATTAAATGAATTACATAAAGCCAAATAAATGTGAAAGCAAAATTATAAAAATCCTTTCAAAAATGTTTATGACAGAAACAATTTAATGACAGACGTGGGTGTATTTTAATTTGGTTGATACGGTGTGGGAGGGAGTCCTCTAAAAGTAAGTGCTCTCAGGGCCCACGAATATTCAGTGCAACCTACCAAAAAACCAGAGAAGTCTTGCATAACAGTGCTTCAATACTGGGACTTTTTTTGACTAATTCCTAATGGCATTTATATAATCAGATTTCTTATCTGGTCAATGTGAAATAATACCCTTGACCTTTGATTCTTTTGGTCATCAGCTGCCTTTTTTTTTTTTTTTTTTTAAATCTAATCTCTGTTTCATCTTCTTTCAGGAATCCTGTTCACGATGCTGGTATTTGGACCAGCCTGTGGATTTATCCTGGGCTCTTTCTGTACCAAAATCTATGTGGATGCAGTCTTCATTGACACAAGTAAGGAGTGTATCTCAACTTTTTATCGCCATCCGTAAGCATGCCCTCCATCGTAAGGGAGCCTTCAGCCTTTGGGTTCTAAACCCTTGCTAGTAGGGGCAGGCTCCATGCATGGAGCTGTAGCTGCTGGCTCAGCAGAGGTCGAGGGAAGGAGCCCTCGAGTGTTGGCTCCGATGGCCTGGGATCCAGTGTGTACTCCACCAGCGTCTACCCGAGGGCCGAATAATCCCTGGAGTTGATTTTACTCCTCGAATCTGGATCGTCCTCATCTGTCAATGAAGGGTAACAATAATTGTATCTGCCTCGCAAGGCTCCTGTAAGCATTAAACGAGAGGATAGATGTGGCAACGCCTGGCATTTTCTCACCGAATGTCGGTCCATTTACGTATCTGAGAACCCTGCTTTCTGAACATGCTCTGGAAATACGAGTGGACCCAGGGGGTCAATGAGACAGAAGATTTGAAACTTCTTTCTGTAAGATAGTGTTGTGGTGGCCTTTATGAGGAAACAAACCATACCTCAAAACCATTTCGAGCAACTCTTCTTGTGATCCTAGCAGGAGGAGCAAGGGCATTTTTCAGATTACTCTGCAAATCCCCACCCGCCCCTGCCCAACCCTCGGCACACTTTGAGCTGACGGTGGGTTAGTTAGATAGGCTAGGTTATGCAGTGGTAACACACAGTTCCCAAATGTTAAGTATTTAATTTAATTTATTTATTTTTAAAATATTTTTGAGAGAGAGCACAAGTGGGGGAGGGGTAGAGACAGTGGGAAACACAGAATCAAAAGCAGGTCCCAGTCCCTACACTGTTGGCACAGAGCCCGACGCGGGGCTCAAACTCCCAAACCGTGAGATAATGACTTGGGCCAAAGGCGGACGCTTTACTGATCGAGCCCCCACCCCCCGCCCCTTAAGTGATTTTATACAACCGAAGTTGATTTCTCGGGCATGCTACATACCCAGTGCAGGCTGGCAGTGCTGGGGAGGATGAGACACAGCTCATCAGGGACACTCCAGGACCTGGCCCACGTAAGTTTCATCTGACCCCAGCCTGCCCAGTTGCCAAGGCAGGAAACCAGGCTGTGGCGAGGTGCGTGCTGGCTCTTGAAGCTTCTCCTCACGTTTTAGTGGCCAAAGCAAAAGTCATGTGACATCTTAGTCTCCTACTGCTGTGTGACAGATTACCCCAAACTTAGTGACTTAAAACAACAGACAGCTATCCCATTATAGTTTATTTCTGTGGGTCCGGAATCCAGGAGCATCTTGGTTGGGTGGTTCTGAATCGGCGTCTCCCATGAGGCTGCAGTCAGGATGTCGACATGGCCTCCAGTCATCTCAGAGCTCAGCCCGGGGAGCTTCTGCTTGTAAGTTCACTTCCAAGGCTGTTGGCAGGCCTTGGAGGATCTGCATTCAGGCTCACATCCATGGGTCTCTCTACAGGGCTCCCTCACCAGGGTTCCCCCAGAGCAAACAACCCAAAAGAAGATGAGAGAGAGCAGCTGAGACCAGAGCCATGGTCTGTTTGTAACCTCGTCTCAGAAGTGGCAAGTCATTGCTTCTGCATTCTGGAGGGTTGAAAGCAAGCCTCTGGTTCTGGTTTATACTCCGGAGAAAGGACGTGAATACCAGGGGTAGGATCGTTGGTGGCCATCTTGGACACTACCTACCGCGTGTGGTCACGACTCTGACTATGGGCCTAGAACAGCACATGCTATTTCTGTGCAGTTCAGTGAGCAGGGAAGCCATGATTCCTGTCTCTCGGAGAACCAAGCGCAGGAAGCCATCCCAGCCTCTCCTCCTCGTACCGATCTATTCTCAAGATCAATAAGAGCTCCATTCCTGGTTTCTCAATCCATCATCTCTGGGCAGTGCTAAATTTACCAGTTCACCCCAAAGAAATAGTGTGGTTTTCAATCTAATCAGGTTGCTTTGTGATTCACTCCATTAATCCCACTGATATATTTACTTGTAGCTAATGATGTGATGAATATCCAAGTGGGGAGGGAAAAAAGGAAGCAAATGCAGCTTTATTTACTTATTCTTTTCAAGTGCTGGGTTTGTTCAGGAGGTGGTTGGATGCTGCTCTGTTGTAGCAGTGGGTTGACCTTTGAACCCCTGCTCCTAGCGAGCCCGACGACAAGCAGAAGCCTGGTCAGAGAACCAACACGTGGTGGGAGTTGGCCGCCATTTTGATTGCATGAACAAAAAAGCTTCCACCACTGTGCCAAAGGCAGTACAAGATAAGAATCACAAAAGAGGGTGAGGGGAGGGGGTTGCATGCCCCGTGCAACGGGGAAGCCTGCCTGGAAGGAGAGGCCAAGTGGCCAAGAAGCATATTCTGCCCTCAGCGTGTAGGCAGTGGTCCCCTTAGGTTAAGGCCCGTGGGTTAGTTACCAGAATCTCTGAGCCAGAAAGGACCTCACATCATTCTCTTCCAACCCTTTCATTGTACAAATGAGGAAACTGAGGCCTGGGGGGGGGGGGGCAGGGATATACCCAGTCCAAGGGGTGTATCTGTGTAAAACCCATGTCTTCTGAGCAATGGAAGCTCTCTCCTGGGAATGAAATAGCATCTTTTCTCTGTGCCTGGAATGACCAAGGGGTGGACCTTTGGTTCATTCATGGTTCCCCTCGGTGTGCCATTCATTCCTTTGCTCAGGCTGTTCCCTCAGCCTAGAGTCCTGCTCGCAGTCCCGGCAACATCTGTCCTCACCCTCTGGGCCAGTGTGAAGGGCCATCATCCATGGTTCTGGGTTCACTGGAAGTTTGAAGCCTCCCCGGATATAAGACAGAGGGGCACGTTTCTAGTCCACCTGGGCATCTTCCTGATGGTAGCCTCCCCCTCCTCCCGCCACGAGTTAATAGCAGAAGTCCCATCCAGCGTGTCTCTAGGAAAGAGAAGGGAGCAACGTGAGTCACCACCATCTTTTGTTTGCATCCTTGCTGAGGGCTCTGGGAGCGCTGATGCTGCTCTTTACCAGTAGAGGGCAGAAGAACATAACTTATTCTATTCTATTGGAGCCTAAGATCCAATTCTACAGTTTCCAGCAATTTTGATGATTTCTAATCTTGTGACTAAAACTCATTCTCTCTGGAGCAGATTTGGGCCGTATTTTGAGAATGGAGTTCTTAATTCTTTAGGGATGACCCTGCTCTATTTTTTCTTCACCGGTGAAGACAGAGCCCCTCTTTAGGGCTGTCCAAAGTGAAGCCTGAATGTAAAGGGCCAGACTCACAGCCACGTGTTTCTGAAACCCCAGCTGAGAGCCGGGAAGGGAACTGGGGAAAACCGTGGTCTGGAACTTGTGGGGAGGCGAGCAAGGCAGAGCCCTTGTCACGGGGCAGTTGGAGGAGAGAGTGTGCCCTCCATGTAGGCTGGCTGCAGCTCAGGGCACAGGGTTGAAAGGGAGAGAGCAGCGAGGGAGGCTGGTTGCAGTCTGTGTGGAAGGGAGGTGGTTGGTTGTAGGAACAGGCCACCTGTGGGGTGGAGAGACCCCATGGGCAGCTTCCCAGTAGGGCTCTGCTGGCCATGTTTAGACACCAGGCTCCCTCTGCCCCTCTTCTTAAGGATAGATGCCTCTTCTGACACCCCACGGAAGGAAGGATGTTGCCTCCAGAACTGCTTTCATAGAATATCTTTTAAAAGTGAAACCAGTTGAGAACCGAACCCAGAAAAGAGAAGGACTTGGTAACAGCGTGTGCCCCAAAGCACTGAACTGAGCAACGTTAACAGTGGGTTTAGCAAAAGCAGATTGGTAACGGCAGCCATGACCTGACTGACCCCTTATGAAGGCTGTATATAGATGGCCTCTTCCGAACCGCAGAACATTCCCATTGGAAGGTGGGTCCTGCTGTCATTCCACTTAACAGATGAGGTGTTCTCATGCAGCGATTTTGAGTTCTGAGCTCCGGTGCTGGAATCAGACCTCCATTTAAATCTCAGCTATGCCCCTTCCAAGCTGTGTGATCCCGAGGGCATTTCTCCTCATGGGTCTGGGCCTGGATGACAAGAGTTAATTGTGCAAAGCATGTAGCACCGTGCCTGGTATATAGGAAGCACACAGTCAGCGAGAGGTTAACTCATTTCCTCAGCTAGCGGGATTCAAACCCCAGGCCTCCCGCGTCCCTGGAACTTCTCCAGGACTTTCCAAAGGCTGCCCCCTTCTGTGGTCAAAGGCCTTGCTGAGATGACCTAACCTCATCACATCTGTACAGACCCCTCCTGAGGCATGCACCAGCCGGTCCCCTACCACTGCGTGGTGTTTGCAACTGGAATAAGATATGTCCGCATGTTTCCTTCATGAAAAAGGTCAACCAGCCGAGAGCCTCCCACCCTGCCACTCTAGGGCTGGCTGCTGGATTCGCCCGATTCCTTCATGTTAGACTAATTAGCTCAACAGCCAGGATCCTGAACATTCCACGCTGCCCTCTCCTCTACCCTCAACCCCTCCCTGTCTCCAGTTTCTAATTTGGTCTGTAACTTAATGATACTCTTGGAATGCTTGAGTCCCATAGCAAAAGCTTCACAAAATAGGTTAGACAAATAGGTAAATGGACTGAAAAAATGAAAAACAAACAAACAAAAACACAACTGCCCAGAGAGCCGTGGTATCACTTATCCATCAGCGTGGCCTGAGAGTAAGAAGTCAATGTCCCAAATGTGCTTTGATCTGCTCTTCTCACAGTCTCGGGTGTCCTCAAGGGCTGGTTTGGTTGTTTGCTTCGTCTTAAACTGGTTTGCCTCTGTTCCCAGTGACTGTTCTTTCGAACCTACAATGGTAGCAGTCCTCAGAAGTGGGAGACAATCTCAGCCCCATCTGGTTACATGACCTTCAACAGAGGAAGCTAAACACTGCCAAAAGCGTGCTCAGCCTACCCGACGAAACCACAAAGACACTCCAGGTGTTGGATTTTAAGACGCGGCAGGGTTAGAAACAAACGGCTGTTGTAAAGCAGAAACCCTTCGTGCCTACAGGCAGCGAGGCAAAGGCAGGCCTGGACTGTGCCGGTCTCCTGGCAGGCAGACCTCTCCATCACAGCGATGCTTTGCTTCACTTGTCCCTGCCTGGGATGGCCAAGGGTCTGATGAGTGCCTGGGTAGAGCGTAGCTAGTCTGCTCAGAGTCCCCTGAGGATGCCGTGTCTTTGCTCGGGCTGTTCCCCCAGCCTGGGATACTGTCTCCACCCCATTCTTTCCAGTGTCTTTGTTTTCTTCACGGTTGCAGTTTCATTGGCGATGAGCTATATCAAGTAAACGAGACAGATGGGTGCTTCTTGGTTTTGTTCTGGACATCTTCCTGACCACAGTCTTCCAGAAAAAGCTGACCCTGCTGTATTTGTTTTAAGATCAAGACACTACAGGGGCGCCTGGGTGTTCAGTCGGTTAGGTGTCCACCTCTTTGTTTCAGCTCAGGTCATGATCTCACCGTTAGTGAGATCGAGCCCTGCATCAGTATCTGTACTGACAGCGTGGAGCCTGCTTGGGATTCTCTCTCTCTCAAAATAAATAAACTTAAAAAAAAAAGAAGAAGAAGAAAATAAGATCCAGATACTCCACGGGGGCCAAATTGCGAGAAAAGCAAAGAGGTTTTCACCCCATTGCCCACCTGTACCCGAAATGGTACTTCACTATTTCAAGCCTTCCCGGGATCACTGTTCCTAAAGAGCATGACTTTTTATTTCCCAATAAGCCTTTTGTACTAGTCAGGGTAGGCTTGGTTCTGCTGTGGTAACAAACACCTCCAAGATCGTAGTTGCTTAGTAACACTAAAGGTTTGTTTCTCGTTCGTGCTGCACATACCGTGCGTCTGCTCTTCGTTACCTCGGGTACCGTCCCCGGAGGATCTCATGTGCTTCTATGATCAGGCAGGGCAAAAGAGCATGGCAAGTCAGGTGCCGGCTCACCTGTGGTTCTCCACGGAAGTGACATGTGTCCCCGTGCTCACATTTCAATGACAGAGTTCTGTGGTGCCTGGCTACGCCCAAGGGAGATGTAATCCTCGTGTTCTCAGATGAGGAGATCCGAACGAAGACCTCGGTAACATCTACCACCGCATTCTTTGCCAGCTGACATAGACAAGTCTCCGTCAGCTTTGGTAATGTTGGCCTCTGCTGACCGGTGACTGGCAGGCAGGTGGGGAGGGATTTCCCCCGTCCCCTCTCAGGAGGTGCCTCAGCAAGGACTTGTCTCAGGCTGGGTTCCAGCATTGTCTTCCTGTGAACCAAGAAAAAATCGGGACTAAAACTCCACCCCCAACCTGGACCTGAGGGCAGCATGCTCCAAAGCTGAGTGGTTTCTTCTCAGAAGGTTCTTTCTCTCTCTGCCACAGTGCTCGGGATAGTTGAGATGGAGAGGGGAGGAAAAAAAAAATCAGTACTTCCGAAAATGGTCAACTGTGATTTTCCTAGATCTACAAAACCCTGCCGCCCTAACCACACCTTCCTACACCCCTCCCCACCCCCCACCCCGGCGCGTGTAACAGGCAGGCCTTGGTCTGACACACGTCACATACTCTTCCCTGTCTTACAAATTATGAGCAAACGCTGGCTTTCCATGCACGTGCGCATACCTACAGGGAGCGAGTTGACACATGCACATAAACATCCGCCTCCCTACCATAGCCCCTCTCCCTGGGATATTTCCTCACACATAGAAGAGACTCCCTAACTTCCTAACTAAAATATGACTCTCTACGTGCTACTAATTTTGTTCCCCCTAAACAACTGCCAGGATTTCTCTCTCTCTCTCTCTGCTGGCTCACATCTGCCAGCTTTCAATTCCCCGTTTATGGAGCCCATTGACAATGGAGGGAGATACCAGGGCTCCCCTTTTACGTCTTTTGTTTTCATTCATTGCTTGGCAGCTGGTGAAGAAACACTGTAAGTGACTGGTGGAAACAATCCTTCCTGCTCAGCTACCGGAGGCAGTCTGACTTCTCTCTTCTCTCGTTTGCATAAAGATGCTTTGAAGATCACCTTGGGTTTCCTCGTGCCTTTTGAAAGCTTTCCCATACTTAAATAGATAGATAGATAGATAGATAGATAGATAGATAGATAGATAAGTAAATAAATAATGTGTTTCAGGGGCACCTGGGTGGCTCAGTCAGTTGAGTGTCCAACTTCAGCTCAGGTCATGATCTCACGGTTCGTGAGTTCGAGCCCTGCGTTGGGCTCTGGGCTGACAGCTCAGAGCCTGGACCCTGCTTTGGATTTTGTGTGTGTGTGTGTGTGTGTGTGTGTGTCTGTCTCTCTCTCTCTCTCTCTCTCTCTCTCTCTCTCTGCCTCTCCACCACTCATTCATTCTCTTTCTCTCTCTCTCAAATATTTTAAAAAACCTGTTTCTTGAAATTCCCATTCCTGTAAATATACACTTATAAGTAGAAATAATAGGATCTGCCATATACTAAGAGCCTACTATGTTTCAAGTGATTCTTGCTCATTACCTTTATTCCTTGCAAGCCATCTGGGTGGATGTCAGCTTTATTTTGCAAATGATCAAACTAAGACTCAGAGAGGGTAAGTAGCTTGCCCAGCATCCCATGCTAGTGAGCAGCAAGGCCGTGATTCACCCCTAAGCCTGCCAAAGCTTATACCCTTCTCTTCTCTGACATGCAGCTACGCAGGAGCATCTGGTCCTTTGTAGTGCCCTAGATGCAGCTGCTGGGTTGATGTCAAAGCCTCCAGGAGAGAGACCACCAATGCTGTAAAGGCCAACTCACCACCTGCCGACAAAGTTGGTGGTCTTCAGCCCGTTGCACAAAGCGCAGGAATTAATCATCCGCTCAGGGAGCCCAAAACAAAGTCTTAGGCAGTCCAGAGGGGCCGTGTAGCAAAGTGATAAGGAGCATGGCCCTTGGCATCTGGATGCCTGTGGCCCAGTCTTCAGCTCTGTGAACTTGGGCAGAGTACCTAAACTTTCTAAGCCTCGATGTTCCTATCTATGTAAAATTGGGATCATAGAAGACTCTACCTTGTAGGGTTGTGGGGAGGGTTGGTCAGAACAGGTAAGAATACACCCTGCATAGAGCGCCTGGGTGGCTCAGTTGGTTAAGCATCCAACTCTGGATTCCGACTCAGGTCCTGATCTCAACCATTTGTGAGTTCGAGCCGCACGTTGGGTTCTGAGCTGGATAGCACAGAGCCTGCTTGGGATTCTTTCTCCCTCTCTCTCTGCCCCTACTCCGTGTTCTCTCTCTCTCTCTCTCTCTCTCAAAGTAAATAAACATTTAAAAAAAATACACTCTGCGTGCTGCCTGGTGCAGAGCAAGCCCTCAGTAAATGATGGCTGGGATTTTCATTAGCAAGAACTGACGAGTCTTCAGAGAGAGTTTTACCAATGGTGAAGTGCTCACCCGGTGTCTGTGGTCATTCCTCTTCCCAGGCCTGTCCACCCATCTGGTCCAGGCCTGCAGCCCTGTTAGCTCTTAGCTCATATGCCATGCTCCTGTCTCCAAGAATTTCCTTCTGGGCTCCAGAAGCATGGGATTATCACCAAAGAGACATTTCTGAGCAGCTCATCTGGGAGTGCTCTATGAAAAGCAGTTGTAGAGAAAGACCCCCCCCCCCAAAAAAGAAAATCTACCGAGGGGTAAGCTATAGTTTATGTCTTCATGACTTCAGCTGGGGAATCACAGAAGGAATCACAGAAGTAATAGCACAAGACAGCCATACTACGTGCGCACTGCCTTTAAGCCCTGCAGAGCTCTCTAATAAAGGACTGCCCAAGCCACAGGCCACCATCAAGATTTGAATGAACCTGTCCACTGGCAGTTCGGTAACAGGACCCCGGCCGTAAATATTGGGCTAACGCCATTGAAACGCCCAAGCACATGCCAAGGACTCTGCTGAGCACTTTATATCTGGTGTGGCTCATTTGATCTTCCCCACAGACTCCATAAGGTACTGTCCTCCTCCTCATCGTCCCGCAGGTCAGTCAGCGAGGTACAGAGGGTTCAAATCACCAGCCTGGGGTCCTGCGGTGAGAAGCGAGCAGCAGGGTTTCACTCCAGGTCTCCCTGGCTCTGGATTTCATTCCGTGCTCCCCGCCCCCTCCACTTTGTGATCTGGGAACCCGATTTAAGATGGGGTGTGGGATGGCCTGTCAGATGAGCTGCTGCTTGAGGGGTGCCGGTGAGCGTCCGTAGTGAAAACAGACCCTTGACCGTGAATGCTTGTGTGCCTTCGTGCATTCGTCCCTGCACCTCAGCAGCTCTGCCTAGCCAGTCAGTTCCAGCCTTAATTCAGAGGGTGTCTGGCTTCTCACTGTTTTTGTTTAGACTGACAGAAACACAGAGGAGACAAGAAAATTAAGGAGGGAAAGCAATCAGCCTTCAGCTTTGGGAGAAACAGAAGCACTGACGTGGAACAAAAGGCAGCTTTGTGTGG